AGTGGCGCAACCACACTTTCGCCCATAAACCGGGACCCAGGCATCCACGCTGTGCATCATTGGAGCTGGTGTTGTTTATTGGGGCAGTTGAACTAGGCCACTAATGCGGCAATGGGGGCCTTGTTGTGAAACAAAGGGCGCCGATGTTCACCGTGAGGTTTTCTTAAGAATGGACCCCCCCTGTGTGGACATGTTGTCTTTCCAGACTAATCAAATCCACCCCAACTTTGTTCTTAAGGTTTTTGGGGGGTGTTCAGAATGGGGCATTCGGGTGGGTGGGTTGTGTGTGTAGTAAAGGTGGTCTGTGAATCTCCCCTCCCTAGGTGTGTTTTTTTTTATTTGTTTAAATATGAGTGTGTGTGTGTGTGTGTGTGTGTGTGTGTGTGTGTGTGTGTGGTGATCGTGGAGGTGAGCCAGCTGCGCGCAGATGGGGGGGGGGGGGCAGAAGGGCAAGGACAGTGGAGGCAGGAAAGTCACACAACACGTTGCGTGCACGCTCAAGGCTGCGACTGCACAAACAATGGCAGCCAATACGCTCACACACAGCCACCCACACATGCATGCACACACAGAGCAGGACATGCAACCGTGCAGCACGCACCTGCTGCATGAGATCGGTAACAGTGTCAAGCTGCGGTGAGGGTTGCTCATACTCCACACAGATGCGCGTGATAATCTCGTGCTGGCACGTGTACCGCGCACACTCTGACGGGCTGAGCACGGCACCGCGCTCCTCCAGGAACAACGGGTACTATTGGAGGCGGCAGCAGCAGCGCGAGGCATGAGCAACACAGGCACAAAGACATGCAGGCATGCAGACACGTAGGTGGGCCGATCGCACAAACAGTTCAGGCATGCTGACAAAGAACACACAAGAGTACGCAAACACACAAATAATCCTGCATACAGAACTACACACGCGTACACACGCATGCATACACACGCGCGCGTGCACCTTGTCACGAAGCTCCTTGAGTGACGGATAGACAAGATCCTTGGCAAGAAACGTCTGCAGGATGTCATCAAAGAGGTCGTCTGCACAACCAAGGAGCACACGGAGATGGGAGTGGCAGATGCAGCGCACGGGCAGTGAGATACGTGGCTTGCTTGCTCGCTCAAGTGTTGTGATGTGATGTGGCCATCAGTACCTGCTCCTCACTCAACACCAAGCACGCCAAGCAATACGCGCCACGCATACACACCAGGCGGCTGCTGCTGCCCATCCTCCGCTGATCGTTGCCTGCGCCGCTGCTTCGATCGCCCCAAACCAACGCCAGACGTCCCCTCCCCATGCTCCTCAGCCCCATCATCATCATCATCATCATCGTCGTCGTCGTCGTCGTCGTCGCTGCTGACCGAGAGGCCTGTTTGCCGCAGTAGATCGTCGACCATCGACTCCAGCTCGTCCAGCGAGGCCTCGTTGACGCCGCCGCTGCCGGCTTCCGGTGCGGTGGCACCCTGTGCAGATGCGCAGCAGCAGTCAGCCACAGACACATCCCGAAACAGGAGGGAGACGAGCGATGACAGACACGTGTGTGTGTATGTGTGTGTGTGCGCATATGTGGGGAGGAAGGAAGGACACGGCAAAGCCATGCTGTTGCTCGTATAACGGTCACACTGACAGCTGCAAACACAGCGTCGCTTGTGCACGCAGCAAAACACTGCCATGTACATGCGCAGAGCATGCACAATGCACACTAAACACACACGCACGCACACACACACACACGCACACACACACGCACACACACACGCACACACACACGCACACGCACACGCACACACACACACACATGCACGCACACATGCACGCACGCACACACACACATGCACGCACACACACACACGCACGCACGCACGCACACTAAACACACACACACAGCTGCTGCACCTGTGAAGCGCGGGTGGCCATCTGCTCAAGCATGCGTGCAAACTCGGCGCTCAAGTCATCCGGCTGCGACTGGGCTCGCGGTTTCGCCGACGTGCTAGTCGATGCTGAGGACGATGATGACGATCCTGGGGTGTTGGCTTGCTGCGCTTGCTGTGCCTGCTGCGCCTGCTGCTGGTGTTCTTGGGGGTGCTTATTCCTGTCGTGTTGGTCATTGGTACTGCCCGTGCTCGGTACTGGCTGTGT